CTCCTATAAAAACATGCAAATGGTTTAAAAACTCAAAAGTGCAAATATTTTTCTTTTTTCAATCGAGTCAAAATGGGTAGAACTAAGTGCTGAATCTGGAGGTGTCACAACTCTCATCTCAGAAAAATTTTGCCCTCGACATTTCAACATTCAGATCTCAGATCACATAAACAGATCAGGGTACAACTGTCTCATTTCAGACTCTTTTTCTCAAGTAGTTTCTTTTTTAGTCATTTTCTTTCACCGAACTCTGATCATGGGAATCTATTTACCCTTTAGCTTTCTGACATCATAAGCTAGAATCCTCTCGGATCTTTTTCTGTAGCTCAGATTCGGGCGTACCTTGAATACTTCAACAGATATTATGTTTCCAAAATCAGATATCCATTTCCTTACAAGTGATACGTGAAACACATTATGAATTTTTGACATGTAATCTGGTAACGGTAACATTTAAACAAATTTCCCAATCCTTTTCATAATAATCTCAATGGTCCAATGTACTTTTGACTCAATTTTCCTTCCTTGCCAAATTTGCTAATACCTTTCATCGATTTGATCTTCATATATACAAAATCTCCTACCTAAAATTCTACAGCCCAATGTTTAGTATTAAAATATTGTCGTTGCATTTCATGTACAACCTTCAATCTATTTATGATCAAATGAATCTTCTCAGTAGCATCATCAACTAAGGCTAGCCCAATCAGATGTCTCTCAGTTATGTCCATGATAAGGGGGTTTTGCATTTTCTAACATACTGAGCTTCGTAAGGAGTCATACCTATGTTAAACTGAAAATTATTATTGTAAGCAAATTCTATCAATGGAATATGATCTTTCCAACTACCACCAAAATTTAGAATACAGAGTCATAGAAGATCCTCCAATACCTAAATAATTCTCTCGGACTGTCCATCAATCTACGGATGAAAAGCTTTATTAAAATGCAGTTTTGTTCTCAACCCTTGTTGAATACCTCTCCACAATCTTGAGGTAACATGTTATCCCTGTTAGTAACTATCACATTTGGTATCCCAGGCAATCTGATGATCTCACGCATATATACATGTGCCAATCTATCTACAAAATCAGATTGTTGTATTGGAATGAAATGTACTGATTTTGTCAAATGATCAACTATAACCCAAATAGCATCATGTATCTATCTCGACCTGGAAAAACCTATATCGAAATCCATTGTAACTTCTCATTTCCACTCTGGAATGGGTAACAGCGGTAGAAGACTTCCTGATCACTGTTTCTATGCCTTCACTAACTGATAGGCATCGCATTTAGATACAAAATATGTCGCATCATTCTTTTAATCCAGACCACCAAAATATAACTTTCATATCACTATATATTTTGCTACTTCATGGGTAAATAGTGTACCATGAATAGTGAGCCTTGTGCAAAATCTCTCGCCTCAGATCTCCAAAAATAGGAACTCACAATCTGTTCTTGTAGAAAATAATATCAGACTCAGATACTCATAGTTCAGATTTCTTACCTGGTCGAATCTAATCAATCAAGTTCGAATAATCTGTATATGACTTCTGATATTCTTGAATTCTTTCTTGCAAAGAAGTCTAAATAATCATCTGAGCCAATATATCACAATCAGTAGAAATCACCTCAAACTGTAATCTCTCTATATCCTGTATCTGTGTATCAAATACGCATCAGAAGTAAGCTGAAGAAATAAAACTCCAGAAGGCTTTCTACTCAAAGCGTCTGCTATCACATTAGCCTTACCAGACTGTTACTGAATAGTCAGATCATAGTCTTTGATCAACTCAAGCTATCTCCTTTGCCTCAGATTTAGACCCTTCTAAGTGAATATGTATTTCAGACTCTAATGATCATTGTAAATCTCACACTTGACATCATGCAAGTAATGCTGCCAAATTTTCAAAGCAAATACAACAGCAGCTAACTCCAAATCATGTGTCGAATAGTTTTTCTCATGTGTCTTAAACTGTCTGGATGCATCCGTTTGAACTCTACTTGCTGCATTAGAACACATCTCAAATCTCTCATTTAAGCATCACTGAATACCTAAAAACCTTATGTACCATAAGAAACTGGCAAAACTGGAGCATAAATCAAATAATCCTTCAATATTTGAAAATTAACCTCACACTCCGATGTCCTGACAAAAGCAACTGATTTATGAATCAGTCTAGTCAGAGGTGCAGAAATTTGATAAAAACCTTTCATGAATTTCTTGTTATATCCGGACATACTTAAGAAACTGTGTACCTCAAACACAATAATAAGACTTGGCCACTCAGTAATCATCTGAACTTTCTAGGGATTAATAAAAATACCAGAACTACTAATCGCATGTCCCAGAAAAGAAATATTTCTCACCCAGATCTCACTTTTAGAGAACTTGGCATATAGCCAATGCTACTTCAAAGTCTCCAAAATAATCCTGAAATGTCTGACATGAACTTCCTCAAAAGTAAAATATACCAAAATATTATCAATGAAAACAATCACAAATTGATTCAAAAAATCTCTAAATACTTTGTTCATCATGTCCATAAAGACAACTGTTGCATTAGTCATTTTGAAAGGCATGGCCAAAAACTCATAGTTCGTACCTTATACTGAATGTTGTCTTCATCACATCAACTTCTCTCACATTCACATGATAATATTCAGGTCGCATATCAATCTTCAAAAATACAGAAGATCCAGGAAGCTAATCAAATATATCGTCAATCCGCGACAAAGGATATTTGTTCTTGATGGTGACTTTATTCACCTCCATGTAATCAAATGCACATACGTATTGTACCATTCTTTTTCTTCAAAAATATAACTGGTGCTCCCCACGGAGACAGATTAGGATGAGCGAATCTCCTGTCAACCAACTCTTGTAGTTGAACGTTCAACTATTGAAGTTCCCTCAACTATTGGAGTTCCCTATGTGTCATCATATACGGAGCATTGGAAATCAGGGTCATACCCAGAAATACATCAATGCATAACTCTATATCTCTGTCCGAAGGTAAACTGACTAACACCTCGGAAAATACATTTGGAAAATTTCGTACTACTAGGACCTCAAAAAGAAGACCATAATCTATACTCTTATTCCTGATTGATACCAAAAATATCATACAACCCTTCTTCCACAATCTATTTGCTTCCATAGAAGAGATCAAACAAGATAGAACTCCTTTAATTCTATGAAATACACAACTCTGACTTCCTAGAAATAAAGTAACTCGCTTTTTCAAGGAAACAATATGTGCCCCGTACTGACTCAAATAGTTTATACCCAAAATAATATCAAATGGGAAAATGTGTAAGAAAATCAAATTTAATTTTCAGTTCTTATCAAAAATCAATATCACATAAACAAAATATATTGGATATCATAATATCTCTAGTCGGCAAAGTAACAGAAAGATAAACATGTTGTACAACTAAAGGTAAGTGCATTAAATCGAAGAAACGCTCGGAAATAAATGAATGCCTAGCACCAGAATCAAATAAAACACGACATGGATGCTCAGAATTGTAAACCGTATCTGTCACAACATCTAGGGCATCTCAAGCCTCCTATTAAGTCAAATTATACCCACGTGGCTGAATTGGAGCTAAAGCAATGGTACTATCAGACTCTCTGACCACTATCAGATGGTCTACCTATTATTGAACCATAATCGCTGCCTCTACCAGCAGACCTCTCAACAAATGTACGAAGTGGAATTGTCCTCGGTCTCCCTACTGGTCATATAGAACTCTTAGATATGGGCTTAGGTTGTCGATCAAATCTTGCTTATGGACACTCTGCCATACTGTGTCGAGCCTGTCCACATTTGAAACACTAACCAGTCATCCTATAGCACTTAAGTTACATCTACCTCAACTTTTGCAAACAGGTGCCCCACTGACAAAATGCTCAAAACTAGCAACACTCTCTCTACTCGAAGCTGTTGTTGGTACAAACTGTCCACCTTTCGTGGACTCTCCAGGTACAAATATGCTCTTACTAGAAAATTCACTGCTAGATTGCCTCTCTTTTGAACCTCTTCTTACTAGCAGTCCACCGCTGTTGAGTAGCACTTCTCTGCGAGTGTGCTAACTAGCTGTGGAGTATATCTGGCCAAATCAGTGAACTCTGTCTCGTTGCATAACTGTCATGCTCCGTAAACTAGCCTTAGAAAATTGTTATGCATTTGCTGTCGTGCAGAAGTTGGTATAAATCAAACTCTAAACACATCTGGAAACTCATCCCAGCTAAGGCGACTCTCTAGTCTTATTTGCCATTCTTCCTCTTAGTGTAAAGCCATTCATCCACCTAAGCATCCTCATCTCCGTAACACTTGACTTAATTTTATACTTCTCTTTTCATGACCAAAATTCTGCGCCGTGAAGCATTGTAGGTCTCACTACCATCTTATAATTTTTTTATTTTATTATTGAAGTTTGAGGGTACTTTTGTATCACATAACATACCCGATACATTCCTCCACTTCATCCATCCAACTTGAATTCTACTAATAATATCTTCAATATATTTCACCATGAATTTGAACAATAAATCCGAGATATCTAAAATGTGCACTTTTTAATAACTCGATCACCCAATGTTACGATCTCATCACTAGATCTACTATTACTAAAATTGCACTCCATGTGTTAGATTTTAGATCAACTCAAATAAAAACATTTAGAATATGAGGTTGACATCCATAATTAAAGTTTTTCATCAACTCCGTCCTTTGTCTTATCAACCAGAAAAAGAAATAAAAAATAGAAATTTTATATTTGACTTAGCATTTGTTATCGTAATTATGACTGCCGCGCCGGACAGATCTCGATCCAGTAACACCCCTCTGTGAAAATTGGCACTTCTTATCTGCTTTCAGTTGAAACAATTCTCATAGTGAAGTCAACATTTAACGCATCTTTTACGCTCATTTTTGTGTTCTTTACGAGTGTTCTGTCTGTCGAACTAACATACCGCTTTAAAACCAGTTTGTATTGCAGCAGTATGAGAATACTTTCTCCAAAATATTAAATGATGTGGTCAATGAGATAAGACGTCAGAGATGTTCTTTTCTCCGGTATGTCATATCAAATACTTAAATTGCTTTTTGACTCCTGTCTATGATTTCATTTGGGACGGCTTTTTTACTACTTCTTAAAGCATCTTTTGAGTACAAAAATTTCTACTTTTGTACTAAGAAGCTATTTTAAGAAGCAGTAAGAAAGCCATCCCAAACGAAATCTATGTAGCTTAAAGCTCGTGCTCATGAAAATCAATTTGTCTTGCAGCATGCGATTATGCAGAAAAGGTGATCCATCAGGTCAGCTTTACAAACTCGGCCCATCTGATCTGATCCCAATAAACTCATATGATCATTTTTCATGAGTGACATTGAGTGCTCAGGCTTCATTTGAGACAGCTTTCTTTAAAGCAGTTTTTTAATAAAAAAAATAAAATTTTCATACTAAGAAACTGCTTTAAGAAGCAAAAAAAAGCCGTCTCACATGAAACCTCAATGAGGACCGGGTGTTTTAATTTTAACTAGTTGATTTCTTATTTGCAGGTATGCTTTTCCTCTCGAATATGGTTGAGGACAAGTCCCCCGGCGGCCTTTCCTATATGGAGTTCCTTGTACATGTCCATCGGCAAATTCAGACGAAAATGGAGTGAGTCGCCATTCATTCTTCTTCCATAAATTTGTGTTCATTCTGCCAGTTTTGATCCTGAGAATCTTTTCGACCACATATACATTACCAAAGATCATCAAGGTATTAGTTAATTAAGAATGTTCAGATTTTCCAGCCTTCCTGTATTTTTTTTCTTACAGAATGGTAAAATTATATCATGCAAATTGTATTAATAAGTAGGTCATCCAGTGTTTTTAGTCTGAGGACATGGTCCATTTTTGTCAAGGATTTGCTATTTATAAGTTGTGCGCTGATCTGTATGTCATGTGCGAGTGAAGGATTGGAAAATGTAGCAGGAAATATTGGTGTGATCGGTGATATAGTTATAGGCTTTTAATATTTTTTTTTTTTTTTTTTTTTTTATTTGGACATTTTTTTTAAGTACTCTTTAAGCATGCTACAGATGTCATATATAGGTTTTTGTTTTATTTATTATTTTTTAAATTATTGAATTAAATTTATTGTGATACTGAAGGAATACTTCCAAAATAGAGTTTTTAAGTCGATATTATAATTATTGGAGTGGAAAATAAAAGTACTTATTGAAATTGGCTATATTTTTATTCTGGTGAAGTAATGAATTATTTAATATTTTTCTTCTATTATTAATTTCAATAATCTATAAGAGAAATATTAAACTGATTGAGATGTCGTGTTTTTTTAAAACTATTTACTTAAAATAATAATAATAATTATTATTATTATTATTTGTAAATAGTTTTAAAAAAACACGACATCTCAATCAGTTTAATATTTCTCTTATAGATTATTGAAATTAATAATAGAAGAAAAATATTAAATAATTCATTACTTCACCAGAATAAAAATATAGCCAATTTCAATAAGTACTTTTATTTTCCACTCCAATAATTATAATATCGACTTAAAAACTCTATTTTGGAAGTATTCCTTCAGTATCACAATAAATTTAATTCAATAATTTAAAAAATAATAAATAAAACAAAAACCTATATATGACATCTGTAGCATGCTTAAAGAGTACTTAAAAAAAATGTCCAAATAAAAAAAAAAAGAAAAAGAAAAATATTAAAAGCCTATAACTATATCACCGATCACACCAATATTTCCTGCTACATTTTCCAATCCTTCACTCGCACATGACATACAGATCAGCGCACAACTTATAAATAGCAAATCCTTGACAAAAATGGACCATGTCCTCAGACTAAAAACACTGGATGACCTACTTATTAATACAATTTGCATGATATAATTTTACCATTCTGTAAGAAAAAAAATACAGGAAGGCTGGAAAATCTGAACATTCTTAATTAACTAATACCTTGATGATCTTTGGTAATGTATATGTGGTCGAAAAGATTCTCAGGATCAAAACTGGCAGAATGAACACAAATTTATGGAAGAAGAATGAATGGCGACTCACTCCATTTTCGTCTGAATTTGCCGATGGACATGTACAAGGAACTCCATATAGGAAAGGCCGCCGGGGGACTTGTCCTCAACCATATTCGAGAGGAAAAGCATACCTGCAAATAAGAAATCAACTAGTTAAAATTAAAACACCCGGTCCTCATTGAGGTTTCATGTGAGACGGCTTTTTTTTGCTTCTTAAAGCAGTTTCTTAGTATGAAAATTTTATTTTTTTTATTAAAAAACTGCTTTAAAGAAAGCTGTCTCAAATGAAGCCTGAGCACTCAATGTCAAAATGTTGCATATGCCTTAAGCTTCATATGGGATGATTTTTTTTTTTTTTAAAGTAAATCTTTATTATAAAATTTTAATTTTTTATTAAAAAATTACTTTAAAAAACAACGAAAAAAATTATCCCAAATAAAATAATTCTGTCCGGCCTGAAGATAAGTAATGCTTTTGCAAAGCCTATGAAAGCCTGGTCAACTGAAATACGCAGTATCACTGTAAAAAGTTATCATTACAATCGAAAATTATAAATTATATATATATATATTTTTAATAAATTGCATTTACATCTCTAAGGAATTCTATGTTACGTGTAAATGAAAATCAATTCACAATCTTCACCTTTGCAAAAATACCTCCGGCCTATATCCTCTGTTTGCACGTCTGTACACAACTATACTTTGTATTCACAGTGTACTGTCAGATCTGGAAAGGAAGTCCAGAGATTACGATGCAATGAATCAAATTGTAGAATTGGAGATTGAGTTCGATGGATATGGATCGACCCAACACTGATCAGCAGCCACAGCATTCCTCCATCTACGTTGGAACATCTCCAATTCCGTGTAGGACCTTTTCCTGATCTGTTTCAGGAAACTCTTTAGATGGTTTACATAACCGCAGACATAAATTACATTCTAAGATTTTTTTTTTTTTTGTGTTTTGGTCTCACAATTATAAAACTATGGGGCCGTTTTAGATCATTTCATTTATATTTGAGCATAAAATAAAACATATTTAGTTATTGTGATCGTCGACAAGGGAGTGAGAGCGGCTGTCGGGACGATGATAGTGATGGTGGTTGAAAGCAGTAATAATATTGTTGCGATGATAATAGTTATTTTTAAAATACTCGAAAAACCTAAAAATTCTTTTAAAAAATAAAATTAAAAAAATAAAAAACTTCATAAAGAAACATGTTTTAAAGAACAAAAATAAAAACAAAAAATAAAATAGAACCCAAACAGACTAAAGATATTTCCATATTGCCTAAAAAAATTCCCAGGAAGATGAAAAAAAGTTCACATAAAACGGCGGCCTTCTGATAACCCGGTTAGAAGATGTATTATATTTGACATATGCTAAGAAAAGTATAGGTGGAGCTAAAAAAACTTTCTTAGAAAATATTAGAAATAACATCTTTTTATTAGATTTAAATGAAAATATGACTCTTAACATGATACAATGGAGAAAGAATTTATGTAGTCAACCCCACGTGGTTGGATAAAGGCTTGATGTTGTTGTTTTTGACTAATAAAAAAATTCTACTTCGAAATTACCTAGTCATTAAATGAAAAAAGAAGTTGCCAAACTCTAGAGAGCTCAAAGTTCATAAAAAGCAATTATGATGGGCATAGAGAATCATGACTTACCGCTAATCTACCATTCATGGCATTTGAAGCAGAGCGCACCTGCAAGTCCAGCAAAATAACCTTAATCTTAATCTATACAAGGGAAAGTGAATGAAGATATTGTTGAACTTACGGTACTACTTGCATCAGAAGCATCTGATAAAGAGTTGTGATTAGTTGTCTCTGTAGTTGACTGTACATAAATAGCAGCATATTAGTAGCCTTGGATGTGATGCAAATGCAGAAAATATAGCCAACAAGACATTAAAATTTAAACTATGAATTGGAACTTAGCTAATAATCAGATGAAATTAACCATAAAGCCGCAACTAAGCTATGAAAAAACTAAGGCTTCATTTAAGACGGTTTTTTACTGCTACTTGAAGCAGCTTTTTAGTACAAAATTTAAGAAAACCGTCCCAAACGAAGCTTCAATGTATTACGCAAATAAATGAAAATTAATACAAAGACTTAAAACTAATGAGTTAATTCTCCCATACCCTATATATAATATATCTCTATATATATGTATATATATATATATATGTAGGCTTAATAAGTAGTACATCTGTAGCCAACCTCCTTTGCTCTTCCTATACCGGGCCTGTTAAACGGCCAAGTACTCGACATTTAGACTTCAAACATAGATATTGACTTCTACCCAAATTATAATAATGGAGGATCAAAATGGCCAGGAATGGGAAGAACATAAACCTTTTAATGGTACCAGACAGTCTTTGGAGTTCCCAAGTATAGAAAAGGAAGCAGCAGGAGAATGATTTATTTTGAAAATTAAATTGTATGATACCAGTTTTTTCCTTCTTTCAAGAGTTAAATTTTGGCTTTATTACTTGAGCTTATAACGTAGCAAAACATGCTAGACCGAATGGGTCCAAACTTTGGAAAGACACAGTGAGTTGTGATACTAACAAAAATGCACAAGTGGTCAGAAGAATTGTCTTACCTTACTGTCACCACCAAGTGAAGGAATACCCTTGTGAACTATATACTCACTATCCACCACTCCAACATTTTTAGTCCTATCACCCTACAGAAAATACCTCAATACATGGATATCACGATTGTAAGAACAATATTTAAGATGTAGGCTTCATTTGGGACGGCTTTTTTGAATTTTTGTACTGGAAATCTGCTTTAAGAAGCAGCAAGAAAGCCGTCCCAAACGAAGCCGGAATTAGGATGTCTGAAGGTTACCTGAGCACAATAACCAAGCTTTGTATCAAGACCCCAAGCATGAATCAAGTCATTCTGCCAGAGCGTACAAAGGAAAATGCATCATTTTGAAGATTGCAATGGTAAGTTGCAGAATCAAATGATGTAGCTAGAAATGTGTAAACAAATGGATGAAAAAAAAGGCTGAAGCATAAAACAAGAATGAGCTATAAAAATACCTGGACCATATGCCAAACACATCGCCAGGCCTCTCTAGAAAAAACAGGAGCCATCATTTCAACCCACCTGAAATTTGCTTGATGTCAACATAATGACAACTAAAAATTCTGGTTAAAAAAACATGCTAACAAAAAATATCCAATCAATACAATGAAAAAAAGAAAAAGAGAGTTACTCTTCTATTTCTAGAAATTAAAAAAAAAAACATGTTTTAACATAAATCAAAACATATAAATTTGCTCAAGGCAATGCAAGCAAAAATGGGTAAAAGAATGTCAACAAAGATGCTGGAAGAGTGCAAACAAAATAGCAATGAAAGAAACCAAATAAAGTGGAGATGGGAAAATGGCAAGATAAGGGGAAAAAGAAAACAACTTGCAGGTTCCACGTGTAAAACGTGGGAGATTTGTTGGTTTTGGTATTACAGCAAACTAAAAGCTCACCCTGTGCATGGTGGCGCTGTACTATTCTTATAACACCTCCCACCACCGCTGAATTTGTATGTTCTTCTGTTCAAGAAAACAAGATTATGCTTTAAGCAACGTTACTTAAATTTTTTTAAAAGAAAGGAAAGAAACCATCCGCATATTAAACAAGCTTGGTATACACAACACCTGTGCGCAAAAGATAAGGAACGTTGCTAGACTCAAAGGGTTTAAGATTTAGGCTTTGGGATGGCTTTTTTGCTGCTTCTTAAAGCAGCTTTCTAGTACAAAAATTTTAATTTTTGTACTAAAAAGCTGCTTTAAGAAGCATCAAGAAAGCCGTCCCAAACAAAGCCTTAGAGTTCGAATCTAGTAAATTACAAGAACAATTAACCAAGAAAAAGGATATTCAAACAAACCTGTGCACTTTTCCTCTCCTCACGCGTGCAGTGATTTGGTAGTGCACCTGAGATTTAGAAGCATCCAGCGCTGGTTGTGATATTTCCAACCCTTCTTTTTCAATAATTGATATATACCTGAATCTTAAATGTGTTATTGAGACGAATACACATAGACAATATACTTAACCCCGGATTTTGAAGGGAAGACTTACCGTTCAGGATGAAAATTTTCCACTCCAAGATCCTCATCCCAAAGGAAAATGTAATTGTACTCAGCAACTATGTCTGGATGCAGGAAACGCTTGGCAAACCACCTTTTCCACGAAAAAGAAGTAAAAAAATTTAAAGCTTCATCCAAAAGAATCTAATAGACAAACAACATTTGCAAGCAATTTGTAGCACCATTTGGTTTGATTGATTGCAGAGACGTGTAAGACACTATCGCTCCAATCTAAGTCTCTCCACTCATCCACAGCACCATCATAGTGAAAAAGCATCACAGCAAAGTTACTCGCGTAGAACTGAAAATATAAAAGAGTAACAAAAAGATTATTATGCTTTTTTGCAAATATTATAGAAAGGAAAGGGCATCATAGCATATCTAATCAATACCTTTTTAACAATTTCATTCACAATTTTCTTTTGCTTTATTCCAACCGCAATGGCCAGCAAACTTTTTGAGGCTTCTACCTTGCCCTATCACCCACAAATGAAACTGCGTTACTTGTAAAATCCAACCAACACAAGTATTAATTAGCTTCTAAAAAGGCTCCCTCTAATGCTATGTTTGGGGAGGGGTTGATTTACAAAAACATATAGGTCATAATGAAGGCAACTTACCCATTGCTCCAAGTTCACATTCTAACTTCAAAAGAGAAGCATAAGAAAACGCAACGATGACAATTTTACTTTCAAATTTATTAGATTAAGAACGAAGCAATGTGTGATAACTTTAAAGAATGGCACTTACAATTTTACTTTCATATTAGGAATGTTTATTGCCCGAACAAAGAATCAAAATCTGGTTATTAAAACTAGCGCTTACAATAAACTAAATTCCTTGATATAACAATAAACTAAATTCCATTGACTTCGATGACATAGGCCCTCAATGCTCCCACTACAGGTTTTTCCTACAATTATACCCTCTTAAACCTCAAAAAATGGGCAGGCAACTAACACAAAAAGCCAGTATTAATATGGCTGTATGTCTGTGTAATGATTAAATATGCCAAAAAAAAGTATTAACAGCACAAACATTGTACCAATTCTAGTAATATAGTATTGTGAGTCACATGTGATTACAAATGTTTGATAAATCCGAGAAACTTGGGCCATGGTCAATAAACCTCAAAAAACATCAATTTTGAAAATTTTCCAGATCTAGGGTTGCATGAGAACTACATCACCACCACAAGCATAATATTTATTAACGTCAACTAATAGAAACAAATTGAAATTAATAACCATGCATAAAAGTTTAAAATTGTAAATCTAGTTTGAAACAAGAAAATAAATAATACTAGAACTATAACAGCAAAGAGTCAGAATTATACCACATGGAATAGGCATTTCACATACCTTTCTGCTTGAAGAACTCAGGGAGTACTCCATTGGCTGCATTTCTAAATTTGATGTTCTACTAATTATGCCTTGAGGCAGTGTTTCACTCCCTGATGGCTTACCATGATTCTGGTACCCAAAAAAAACGAAGAGAAATAATGCCAATTTACATGTTTGGAAAGCCCCCCATTATTGCCACAAAGAATGGAAAAAAGGGTTCACAAATTAAGCATCATCACAAACTAGTGCACATATAGGGAAAAATAAACATACCTCACATAAACTAGAATTACGCTTAAGCACCAGCCTGCCTGTTCCGTATTCAGATGTAATTTTCTGCACAGGAAAAAATGAAATTAGTTTAAAATGTTTTCTTTTAACCCTAAAAATGGGCGTTATCTGTACGAACATAAATATTCTAAATATTTAATTTTTAAAATACCATGACATTAATCCAAACGCACAACATTTGAAATATAGCATTGCCATATGAATAACAGTCGTCTAAAAAAAATTTCCTAATAATTATGTTATTAATTCTTAATCATTTAAATGATTTCTAAATAATATTTATATTAATTGATGAATAAAACAGATACAATAGATGCAGAATTTTGACACCTTGCCATATAGTTATTGGTTGAACTTAGTAAAAAGGTAGGATGCATGCAAAGGATCTTAGACTTTCAATCTCCCAAACAAAAATATGATATTTGCAGGAAAGAGCAGACATGAAAGAACAAACCACTAAAAAAAAAACTACTAAACAAAGTACAAAATTCAGTAAGCTTCTTTTCTAACATGGAGTATTTAATAATCCCAGAAGGAAATCACATGTTACCTTGTAATTAATTATGTATGGGGTCCCAACAAGAAAACAAATACATAAAAAAATTGCCATTGGAAAGTAATGGCTAAAGCATGCCCTCTTCTGGACGGGATCTGTAAGTAGATAACACTGCAAAAAAGCAAGGGAGAGATTATAGGAATGATATTGACATAAATGTAAAGTTCAAAAGTAGATAATTCTTAAAAGTATTACTTAATGAATGCATTCTTCAATACTACACAAATTCTCAAGTCCGATTGCTCTCACTACTTGATGGTTTTTCAAGCCATTGAAACTTATATAATGCTTTATATTTGGAATGTAGATGAGAATTATTTAAACAGTGCCAGTGCATTTTCTCAATTGGAAATTGACACAGGATTAGAGACCGATTATTCTAAGAAATGTTAATAGTATTTCTGCGTATCACCTTACTCATTACCCACATCTAACATAAAATTATCTTTGTCATCACCACCGGTCAAAACTCCCAACATATATAATAATCCCACTCTGTTGTATTTTATAGTTTCCATTACTTGATTTTTCCACAATAAGATTGTCTGCTCAATATAATCTATCAAACATATCTAATGAGCTATTTGGTTAGTGGAGTTAAAGATTGTACTTCGAGCTGAAAGTACTTCAAGCTTAGGTAATTCCATAATCCAATTTTAAAAGCAAGGAAAATTATCCCATATAATCTTTCTCAGGCTCAAATTCACAGTACAGGTTTGGGAGACTCAACGGATCAAACTGGGGCAAAATGGATAGACAAAGAGTACAACTCTGATTAAATTATACGAAGAACTATGATTAATTAATTTACAATTACTTCATGAATGATTTAGTTACTAATTAATTGCTTGAAATCAACATATCAACAGCAAGTTTTATCTAAACCGTTAAAAGCAAAAGCCACTTATTCTCTATTTCTTAATCAATGTATGGACATCTAAATCAGTCTCCTAATCAGAAATTACTGATTTAAAAAATTAATGACCAATATGATTGATAGGATTAGTACATTTCACAAATAATATAAATAGAATTTCAATTATAAAAAAACTTTACCCCAAATTGTGATGTGAATAGAAGCCTGTTTGTAGATAAATGAGTAATTAAAACACAAATGGCTTACCAATAGCATTCATAAATAAATGATAAATAAAAACTTTACAACAATTTGCTAACATATTCATCAAAAATATTAAACATGCAATAAACAACCCAACCAAAATATTAAGTATGAATGATAGTACATCCCTACAGCTGGTTGCTTAACTATCAAATACACTAAATATACAATCGGCAGTTAAATTAGCATACAAATAATTAATGGCCATATGAGTTAGGGAACATGTAAGTATTGGCATAACTGCTATATGCTCAGAAATAGAAAATTTTAATTTCTCCTTTTGTTCCAAATAGCATAACCTAAGATAAAAAAATCTTTCTAAGCAAATAGGCTTAAACCTAAACTTCATAATCTTAGGCTTCGTTTGGGATGGCTTTCTTCCTGCTTCTTAGAACCACTTTCTAGTACAAAAATTTTTATTTTTGTACTAGAAAGCGGTTCTAAGAAGCAGTAAAAAAATCATCCCGAACGAAGCCTTAGTCATCAAGTTTTCAAATGAATTACTTTACTACCACTTTAAACCAAACAATGCAAAATGAAAATTCCTATTCATTTCATATCCAAAACCTTGGTAGATGTTACAATTAAAAAAACATTCATAGATATTGAAGCTTGAATTCAGTCCTCAGATGAAAACGTCAATTCTTCAACAAGAAAAACGATTGGTAATCAGAGGAAACACAAAAACAAACATAATAACGCATAACATAAAGTGGAAATCACACAAAAATTAATAAAATTGGAGTACTATGATTTAAGGAAATATAGAAGTCAAGAATGAACAGAACTGTGCGCACAGCAAAGGATATCTTACATAGTTTCGAATCGTCATTTCCGTGAATCCTAACTACGGACCTGCAAGCAAGCAACACAGGAAGCCAAACATCAGAAAAAAAGGCGGCCCCACGCAATGAACACTGCAGGGAAATTCGTGGAAGAGAATATGAAACGAAAAAAAATAAAGGACCAATTTGAAAGAAGAGTTCCTAAAGAACAATAAACTCGAAAAATTAGCTCACGGGGGAAACCAATCTACAAGTAGCGGCAAAAAGTATCTGAGCTACGAATCACTGATTGTACGGATGATAATTCACAAACAAATGACCTGGTTGCTTCGACAATGAACACAACCTTAGGATTTGAAAATACTGAAAGTAGAAGTGACATAAAACGATAAGAACAGCTATTTCAAATCTTAAGAAAGGTCGAAACTCAAAAAACTCTAAATTCGGCGGCCCTACCCCAACCTCTCAAATACCAAATAACTAAATCGGGCACATAGACTGTTTGATCATTTAGTTCAAAATTTAAGATTTATATGACCTGGAAAACAAATTAACAGCTTCGTTACCGACTCTGTGAAGAAGGAATCGTAAGGTTACCGGCAGGGAGATCGCTATGAGCAAACCAGGAGAGGAGAGGAGAGTGCGTGAGAGATGGAGGCAATCGGGACGAGGATTCTCAAAGTAGAGAAATAAAGGTCGCGAGCAAGGGGAATTCCAATGATTAGAAATACGAAGCGCCCTAGGGTTGTACATGCTGACCTGAAGAACAATACAGTACCAACTCCTCCCAGCTTCGTACCGCCGCTCCTGTAGCATAGAAAGATATGTCCCCAACTATACGTACAATCCAAAACCAGAGTCAAACGATATCATTTATTTAAAGCCAATCCAAATGATTGCTCGACGGAGAGAAATAAAGGACCAATTTTTAAAACGGAAATTTCCCAAAAAAAAAAAAAAATTTTTAAAACGGAAATGGTAACCGACGCCAAGCTTTCATCGGGAGCCGAGTAGGAACAAACAAAAAACTGAAAAAGACAACAGAATGGTTTTCCTCGCGCGGGTTGCTGCTAGGGTTTCAAGAGAATGTAAGGAGGAGGCTATAGAGAGAGGAAGCGCGATTGCTTTTGTCGATTGCGTGCGTTTCATCCTTTCACATACGACTGCAGAAAAGAGAGGAAGACTGAAAGAGAGGCATCGCTTTTGCCTGCGACGGCATATTATTTATTATTTATGGCTATTTATTATATATATATATAATGAGAAAAGAAAGTAGGTTTGAATTGCAAATCTAATCATAGAAGAAAAATTATGTAAAAATGTTTTAATATAAATTGTATTAATATAAGAGAGAATTTATATACATAATATTTAAAATTAAAGGAGTCTTCCTAGATGATTTGGCCACATAAAATATGGACTTTTGTATGACTCAATTAAAAGACTAGAAGTATAAGATTCAGCCTATATTAAATAAGATAGTGATAGGCCTAAAAAAATTTAATTAAAAAGTATTAAAAATATATTTATTTTTTAATAGATTTCAAAAAATTTATTTCTTAATAGGACTCAAATGAGATAGATACCAAATAGGTCTGATATGAGCCCAAATGGGCTCAAATCAAGAGCTTAAAGCATATTTGGGAAGCTTTAGAGAATTAATTAGATGACCAAATGATTTCTAAATATGGTATGCTTATAGTTGAATCGAGCGGCTAGACAAGACGAATCTAACGAGCACAATATCACTTATTTCTGACATCTTTAAGATACTTAAATGTTTGATGAATGTTCTATGATCGAGGGAATTGATATGAGTCGTCCGATGTAGCACAATGGATTTGTATTGAGTCTTCTCCAAATTTACAAGAGATGTCACTCTCAAAATCTATAATGTAGTCATCATCTCAATATGGAAGCCAGTAAATCAATACTTAAACTACATATAATGATCTAAAAAGTCCAACTGATCATAAAAATCATATAATTGAATTCAAAGTACGATAAAAAAACGGCATACATGTCGTCAATCAATTCATAACAATAATAGGCATATGATCATGAAAATGTATATAAATAGTAAAGCTCACATGTTGTAGCAGTAAAATATATAAATAATAAAATAGTATGGTGTGGAAGTTAGTAAAGTAGTGTGGTGGAGAAACCAATAAACTAGTATGGGTAACATATCAATAAAACAGTCATTGTATCAGTACTATCAATCAGTAAATTAATTATATAAAGAGATAAAACTGAAGTATTAGTAAAGACTGTCAAAATTATATCGATATAATAAAATCATATAATGATGTATACATGTTATCTAGTTATTTTATATTAGTATTTTAATTAAATGCTCAATATATCACGTGCTCAATATTTCACATACTCACTATCAATAATTGGTACAATTAATCAATAATAGTAATTATAATAGAAATCAGTAATAGTATCAGTAACAATATCGATATTTACATCGGTACCAGTAAATCCAGTGACATTAGTAGTAAATCAAAGCTATAATAGTAATTCATATGGTGATAATAAATCAATACAATATCAGTAAAACCTTATAATAATAATAAATCTGTAACATACATTTCATTAATCATATTAGTTTAGTAAAAAGTTTGAACTTAAGTGATATTTCCTAGTATCAGTAATCCATAGTCAATAATTATTGGCTAAGTAAATAAAATTGTTACTATTTTATCCGTTAGTATAGTAATGACTTATTATAACTCTCAATCAGTATCACTTGAATCAATCGAGGATAACACCAAATCACATATGTAAAGGCAAGCCCGTCGGCCCACCATCATGTATAGGTGAATCCGTATCCAAACAATATCAATGAATAACTAGTATTTACTTATTTTTCTCATAGACAAATTATTATTATAGTACTATAACAATAATAACAATCATGTATTACTTAGCCACCTGTCTATATTCACTCACAATGCTAGTATTAACAATATAATTAAATAAAAATACTTACTTCAATTCAAAAAATATATATACAAAATTTAATAACTTTAATTTTATCTGCTGAAATTAAAAAATATTACAGTCAAAATCTTCAAAATAATCAGTACAATGTCATATAAAAAGTTACGCTGAAGAAGTTCAATAAATCATAAGAAAATATAGTAAAATCAATTGTGGGGGAATCAAATGGTTGAAATCAAAATCTTTCAAAACAGAAGTATGATCAGAGTCATCTATCTCAATATGAGCAATTTTTCGTAAAAGTGGCAAAGCGATTCGGAGATCTAAAATCCAAATTTCTCCTTCTCTCTATTATACTGCAATTCAAAGAGGAATTCAAATTTTTTCCATTTTCAATTATTTTCAAAATTTGGTTTATTACAGATAGTTTGAAGCTCGAACATGATTGAGGAGCTGTAGAGAGTTCGTGCTTCGAACCAAGTGAATGACGAAGGTTTGCAGCCAATTAGGGTGATAACAAGAGTAATAAATTTGGTTTATTGTGTAAATAATTTTTTTTTTTTTTTGCGAAAGATATATAAATTAAAAAATAATATAATTATATATTTAAATATCTTAGAATAATTATTAAATTTATTTTGAAGTTAATTTTAAAATAAATCTAGAATTTTATAAATTTATTCTTGATAAGTCTCAAAAAAACAACTTAATCAAACACGACTCTCGAGGCACATTGGGAGGGGAAACTTTCAAAAGTAAATTCATGATCATTTAAACTTTTATGATGCCCTAGAATCTAATTTGAAAGAATTATTTATTTATTTTTTAATAAATAACAACCAGAGCTACCTAATTTTTTCTATTAATAATAAATAATAAAATAGACTCTATAATTCAAAATATTGATATATACATCTATATTCATTCTAAAAAATTATATAGAATACTTAGGATCTATACAATCATCACATATCTATCATATCCTGAGTACAAAAAATAGCTAAAATAAAAAGAACTTGAACTTGAAGGAATCTTGACCAATCTCACACTCCTGATCATCTACCCTAACCTGAAATCATTTAATCACATATAATGAGATAAAAAGCCCAGCAGGCCATCTAAAACTCATAATTGAATTTAAATTACGGTCATGATCCACGATCAAGAGGATCAACATCAGCCGTCCATTCAAACCACTCCAACTTGCCCTTGATCTCTTCCCTATTTATTGGTCATATCACTCACAAAAAACTAAAAATAGACCCTTCATTCTTCATGAAAGGAGGCCCCAAGCAAAGAAGAGAAGGAAGAGAATGAAGGGAGAGAAACTGGAGTTTTCTTACAACCAAACTCCTCCTCGACTACTATCGAACTTCCTCTCGACTACCAACTGACATTGGACTTTTGCCCAGCCACTGATTGACTCCGGACTTTCGCCTAGTCACCGATTGATGCCGGACTTCCACCCGGATGCCAAACTGACGCCAGACTTCTTCCCGGCCACTGATTGATGCAAGACTTCTGCCCAGCTACTAACTAATGTTAGTCTTTCATCCAGCTTCCAATTATTGTTGGACTTCAATCAAATAATGATCTTTCCAATCTCTATCGCCCGCAGACTACGGTCCTTTCGACCTCCTTCACTTGATAATGGTCTTTCCGACTTTTATGGCACGCCGACTACAGTCATTCCAACCTCCATCTCTTGACAATGATCTTTTCGACCTTTGTCGCCAGCCGACTACGGTCCTTCTAACTACTGTCACTCGAATACGGTCTTTCCAACCTCTGTTGCAAGCCGACTATTGTCCTTCCAACCAAACGAACATATCAATTATGATTCTTCCAATTTCCACCATGTAATGCACTTTATATAATGCATATTTGCTACATCAAGCTAAGGTCTTCCTCCCAAGAAAGGACCCCATTTATAATCAACTATAAACACTAGTGGATTTATTCAAATTAGGCTAGGCCCCATGGTTGTTCCCCCTTTCAGGGGTTTCCACGTAAAAACTCTGGCGTCTCTTATGAACAATACACCTTCTATTTTATCTGATTGTGTGCTAGATCTTTGTACAAAGCTAAGACGTTAAAACTTTATATTTCTCTACCGTCGTGAATATTCCAGGATGCAACACTACTAGTATTTTTTTTCAATTTCAAATGATGATATTATTTGTGATTGAAAAAGGTGTTGATACAATATAATAAAAAAATTTATAAAATAGATTCTATAATAAAATTTGAAAAGACCATGTGATATAGAGTTATCTTTAAGAAATAATTTGATGAATGTTTAGTCATTCTCCTTCAAGGGCGAAAGTCCATGTACTAAGAAGTCTAACATAAATTTCAATGCATGATATGTATAATAACTGCTACTACAAAAATAAATTCGTCCAAAATAATCGAAACTAAACATGATAAGAACTTCATATTTGCATTTGTATATGTCCAATGTTCAAGAAATCTTAAGTTATTATATGTTTAATTAAGGCTTCGTTTGGGACGGCTTTTTTCCTGTTTCATAAAGTAGCTTCCTAGTACAAAAATTAAATTTTTTGTACTACAAAGCTGCTTTAAGAAGCAATAAGAAAGCCGTCCCAAATGAAGCCTAAGTCCAAATGAGTATATAGTCAAACTAGAAAAGTAAAAAATATTTATGAGAATTTCCATAAATTAATTCTCCTTGGGAGCTAAGCTTAACCGATAAAAATCATCTCGAGATATGCTTTCACTATCCTAATTCCAGTTTTAATTTGGGTGAAAGTTACACTCATTTATTTAATTTAACAAAGTTGGGGAAACTTTTTGTCATGTATCTTTTGAAATGTCATGGAATAGAAGATTTTACACATATTGACAGAGAAAAATCAAAGTTTCACGGAGTAATTTTGAAAATGTGATTTTCATGTGTTTTATTGATTATGTTAATTTTAATAAAAAAATTCTATGATGATAATATATTATAAATGTTGTTT